TATATATATATATATATATATATATATATATATTTATATTGACCAGTGACCTGTCCAGAGTAATATAGTACAGCGATGCTTTATAAAAAGGTGTTTGTTGAATATCGGGGAAGAGTAAGTGGCTATTTATAAAATAGCTAGAGGGAGTATTCTACCTCTTCACTTTAAAACCCCGTGGACCTGTCGCTCGTTGCTTTTTTCCATCACTTGCTTTTCAACCGCTCGCTGTGATACTCTTGTTAACTCCGGAGTGTTTAATTTGCGCTTCTATTATTCCTTTTAATCCTCAATTATCTTCATAATCTTCAAATAAATAAATAATTGGTTAATTAAGTGAAATAATTCGAACTGATTTAAATTAATGAAATTAATCATTCAAACCACTATTTGTTTCTTCTTTAATTAGACCGTGTTCAGAACGCGCTCGGGTTGATTAATTTAAAATCGATAAGAAGTGCTTTATTAGTCACTGCCAGTTTCAATAATCACCTCTGGATAATGTTTTATTAAATCGTTGACTTTTATCATTAATTAATAAAGTAAGTATCATATTTATTTTACTTTTAATTAATTATGCTTTCTTCTTCTTGAAAATTTTATCTTTATTTGAATTTTTAGATTCAAAATGAACATCGAGGAATTTTGTGTGCGAGGTAAAGAGATGGTGGAGTATATTTGCGAATATCTAAGGACATTAGAAGGTAAAAGAGTTACGGCAAATGTTGATCCTGGTTATTTGAGGCCTCTTTTACCCAACGAAGCACCGCTAAAGCCAGAGTCATGGAATGATATTATGAATGATGTTGAAAATAAAATAATGCCTGGAGTAAAATATATATTTTTTCTACACTGTTAAAAATTTGTCTTAAAATTTTTTTTTTTTAATTTATTTAATAATATAATAAAATTTAAAATTCATGTCCTGGATTTTATTAGTGTTTTAGAATTCAAATCATTGAATATATTTATAAATTAATTGACTCTAAATTTGGTTAAAAACGAAGAAAAAAAAAATAACGACTTAAAAATTGAGTTTGCTTTTAAAAGTATCCGAAATGGCCGTCGCTGATGATTGCAATAATTTAATTTACTAAGTGAATAAATGAAAATAAAATTTTAAAGCAATTCATTAAAAAAGTATTTTTAACAGTGTACTAACTAAATTACCAGATTTACCATAAATTAACTTTAAAATTAATTTTAGATAACTCATTGGCAACATCCACGTTTTCACGCGTACTTTCCCGCTGGCAATTCATTTCCTTCAATCCTCGGCGACATGTTATCAGACGCGATCGGATGCATTGGATTTTCCTGGGCAGCAAGTCCGGCCTGCACAGAGCTCGAAACAATAGTCCTAGACTGGTATGCAAAGGCCATTAATTTGCCATCTGGATTTTTGGCTGAAAAAAAAAATTCTAAAGGCGGTGGTGTAATCCAAGGATCAGCATCCGAGTGTATTTTAGTAACAATGTTGGCTGCACGAAACCACGCAATAAATTTACTGAAGAAAAAGGAGCCATTAATAGAAGACAGTGCTTTTTTACCACGATTAGTGGCTTACTGCTCGACAGAAGCTCATTCATGCGTCGAAAAAGCGGCTATGATTTGTCTGGTAAAATTGCGAGTATTGGCACCTGATGACCGTTGCTGTTTACGAGGCAGTACACTGGAAGCGGCCATAAAAGATGATATTAAACATGGATTGGTGCCGTTCTTCGTGTCAACGACACTGGGCTCAACTGGGTGCTGTTCATTTGACAATCTGGTTGAAATTGGTCCGGTTTGTAAGAAGCAACCTGGAATATGGCTCCACGTCGACGGCGCTTATGGTGGAAACGCATTTATCTGCCCGGAATTACGGCCGCTGATGGCTGGAATAGAGTACGCAGACTCATTCAATACCAATCCCAACAAATGGCTCCTCGTAAATTTTGATTGCTCATGTTTGTGGGTACGTGATCGCGTTAAATTAACATCAGCTCTTGTTGTAGATCCACTTTATCTTCAACACGCTAACTCAAATGAATCAATAGACTATCGACACTGGGGTATTCCGCTGAGCCGAAGATTCCGAGCACTTAAGCTCTGGTTTGTAATGAGAAGCTACGGTATTATTGGGCTGCAAAAGTATATACGCAACCACATTCGGTTGGCGAAGAAATTCGAGGCTCAAATGAGAAAAAATAAACGCTTCGAAGTACTCAATGACGTCAGGGTAGGATTAGTCTGCTTTCGTCTAAAAGACAGTGATGAGATAAACCAAGAACTGCTGGCCAACATCAATGCCTCGGGAAAAATCCATATGATACCTTCGAGAATGATGGGCAAATACGTGATACGCTTTTGTGTCACTAAAGAAAACGCCATAGAAGACGATATTGATTATGCGATGGAGGTAATTGACGAACACGCCTCTGAAGTCCTGCTCACTCATTATGAGGGGACAGAAATTGAGCTGTCGGCTAAAAGCCCCAAGAGCCCGGTTCCACTGGACAAGAAACTCGTACGGAAGTTCAGCTTCACCAGAAGTGTTACACGAGATGTTTATAGAAGAACTAAGTCTAAATCAACTTTGCATGACGGAGCTACGCCGATTATGGTTGTTGAAGACAACAATTCCCAGGTTGATCTGAACGACGAGGAAGTATTTTGTAGTGATCGGTAGAATACGATCCAACTCACGGTCCCGAAGAAAAAAAATCATTTAGTATCGTTACCGTGAGCCAAGCCAGTAGATAGGATTTTCGAATATCGTGTTGATCCTGAGTCTTTAAATACTTCTAAAGAAGTTTTAATTTGATTAGTGGTTTATTTTTTTAAATTTACTCAGGAAATGATCACGATTTTTAGTTAGTTATTCGGTGCTTGGTTTTTTTATTACTGTTTAATTTTTTTTAAATGAATAGAATATTGTTATTTGATTTTTCAGCATTCTTAAAAGATTTTGTTTCACTTTGATTTTACGTGATACTGTTTTTTCATTATGAGTATTGTTTAGTAACGAATTGAATGCTGAAAAATTAAAATTATGAATTAATTATCGTAGATATTTAGATAATTGAATGTTAACTTTAAGTATATTGCATGATAATTAATGACAATATTATAAAATTGATCGATAAATGTGTTAATTCTATGTGTAGCTAATTAATTAATTAATATATTTATAAAAAATTAATGAAATAGAATGCAATGTTTCTAGATATAAAAAAGCCTAATTTTTAAGTAATTTATTATAATGACAAGTGAAATTATATGATTAAATTATTGAAAAACTGTTTAAACTTTAAAAAAAAAAATTAGATGTCATTTACAAGTTATAATTATACAATACACCGAAAATATTTGTAAAATTGAATTAATAAATTATTGAAAGCTAAAACTAATTTTTTAAATCAATAACATATATCTCAAAGTAAATAGTAAATAAAGATATAATACATTTTTTGTACTACTGATGATTATAGAAGTTGAAGTGATGAAAAAATTAGGTTTATACGCGAGTTATTTTAGTGACAAACAAATTTTTTATAACGTTAAAAGCTTTGTTTTATTATATTATAACCTGGTTAGTTAGTCATCGCTACTCACAAGGATAATAATTGAAATTGATTTTAAATTCTAACAGGCAATGAGACCAACGCTTGCAACGGCTCAATGAACAAGATAATTTTCAATAAAAACAACTGAAACTACGGATATTAATTTTTTTTTTTTTTTTTTACTGTATTAAGCAATCAATAAGGTATTGATAATTTTATTCTGAGTTGTATATCACTTTTTTATGGTTGAATAGATGAAAAAAAAATCTCATTGCTATTTACTTTGATCTCGTTTCATTAAATAAAAGATTCACTGCAGTGAACTAGAAATCAGCAAGCAATTCAACTTACTAGATTTAGAAAAAAGATATTTACTACATTGAATTCAACACTTAACATCGAATAAAAATTTCAATCAAGGTAATTAAAACTTTGATAACATCTTAGACGCATATCAAAATAAAAATTGTAATTTTTCTGACGTGCTTCTCGAAAAATGTCGAAGACATTAGCAGCTAATTTAAATCCGGTCGATTGTAGATAAAAGGTCTGATTTTTAGAGTGTATGCAAACAGTTCTATCTAAAGGTGACCTACCACCACATGAAGTTGCTGACATCTTCTTTATTTTCCGAGAGAATACTTCTGAAAAATTATAATATTTTAAATATATTAATAGGCTCTGGAAAAAAAAACTCCAGCTTTCTACAATAGTAGTAAATTTTTGAACTGCTGATGATTTCTTAAAAATTTCTATTTTCTTTAAGGGGGGAGATACGTGTAGAAAGCCATTTTCATGCTGATTTTCATTAATTTTTTTTATGGTATAAAAAATAAATATTATTTATTGAAACTATCAGGTTATTTTATACATATATTTATGAGTATTTTTTCGTATTAAACAACAATGTAACTTAACAAATAGCGGAGATATCAGCTGATACACATCGTAGGTTGTCATCCGACTTAGCAGTTGGTGTGCAGTATGGAAGCCACAATTTTTATCTGAAATCAATGGCACAGAAAAATCACTTTTTTTTATATGTGTATCTTCCATGTCGACGTTCTAATTAGCAAATCGTCTAACTCCATTTCAGAGAATCTTCCATTTGTACAAAAAAACAATTAGTTCAAAATTTATTATCATTTAAAACAAAAATTTAATATTTAATAGAGGTATAATATTTTAGTTTGGATCATTCAAATAATTTATAATTAGACTATTGCTACATCAAAATGTTAAAAAATTACCGTCTAAAAAATAAGGAGTTAGACCGGTTGCTAATTAGACCGTCGATATGAACCTCAATTCCAAAAAAAAAAAAAATAAAAATTTTCATTTTTTAGAGGGCTTTGAAATCAAATCGTGATTTTTAACCATTTTTTTCATACACTGTTTATTAAAAAAAATAGTTTAAATAAGAATATCGCTTATGATGGAGGGACATATTCAGCATAATTGTATAAAGAAAAATAATTTTTCTGTGCCATTAATTTCAGATAAAAATTGTGGCTTTCATAGTGCACACCAACTGCTAAGTCGGAAGACAACCTAGGATATATATCAGCTGATATCTCCGCTATTTGTTAAGTTATATTGCTGTTTAATACGAAAAAATACTCATAAATATATGTATAAAATAACCTGATAGTTTCAATAAATAACATTAATTTTGATACCTTAAAAAAATTATTAAAAAATCAGCATGAAAGCGTTTTTCTACACGTATTTCGCTCCTTAAAAAAAATTAAATGTGAAAACTTCAAAATATCTTCTGTAAAATATTGTAAAAACTGCAGTCAATTTAAAAAATTGAAACTGAAATAAAAAATAATTTTGGTTAATAAAAAGAAATATTTAAATTAATTATTAATTAATAATTAAATAAATATAATAAATATAAAAATTTTATTAAATTTCATTATATCTAAATAAAATTACATCTGTCCACATTGTGAAATAGTTACAGGAATTTTAGGTTTATTATTTGGACCAGTAGGTACATTTTCCACCTTTCTCATCACCAAGAGTCCATCAATAACTCGACCAAAAACTACGTGTTTGCCATCAAGAAAATTGCATTTGGCACAGGTGATAAAAAACTGACAACCATTGGTGTCCTTTCCACTGTTGGCCATTGAAAGGAGTCCCGGGGAGTCATGCTTCAATGTGAAGTTTTCATCAGCAAATGTGTTGCCGCCATAAATACTAAGCACGCCGGTACCGTCACCGTTGACAAAGTCGCCACCCTGGATCATGAAATCCTTGATGACTCGATGGAAAATAGCTCCCTTGAATCCCAGAGGCACTCCGTCTTTTCGATACTCGCCGGTGCAAAATTGACGAAAATTTTCGGATGTCTTTGGACAAACATCTTCGAATAATTCAAATATCATACGTCCTATCTCAGTCGTGCCGACTGATACATCAAAAAAGACCACCGGGTTGTTTGGATTGCGGAGTTGAGCTTGAATTTGATTCCACGACGGCATTTTTTTTTGTTTTTATAATTAGATAATTAATTACTTACTTTTTATTCTTTAATTTTATAACACTAGTAATTATTTTTTTTTTTTACTTTGCACTTATTTGCTCCGCTCACAAATAATAAACAACGAATGAACGTTGGAAAACATAACCTGATTGATGAATGAACACGCGCGCTTAGTTTGTGGCGCCATCTTTTTAAAATTGCCGCATTATTGTGCGCGCGCATAATGGCGCGAATTGAAATGTCAAAATTAAAAAATTATTTTATTTTTTAAATTGATAATTTTTTAACATAAAAATTTATTTAGAGCCGTAAGATGGACGGTGGAGTAAGAAGGTCTATCATTGCATAAGTATCGAATGTCATTAATCGATGCTTACAATTCTATTTGATGCTTATTAAAAATTTTAATTGCATCTCAAGCGTCACATAAAAAACTGTTGACTTTATATTATGACATACAAGTTAGCTGTCACTTGACAATTTTTTAATTTTATTAAAAAAAAAAATTTGTTCCAAAAAATTATTTTAAAAAAATTGCATTTTTTATTTTTTCCAATTTTTAAATGTCACTTTTTTTTCTTATTTTTTTTTGCCATAATTTATTTGTTAATAAATTTTTAAAATTATTAAATATGTGCTACATTAATTTTCATGTTGACTTTTTGGTAAATTTTATTTAAGACGAAGTCAAAAATTAATAAATTGTCAACTTAAATTCAACAAACTATTACCAAAAAAATTTTTGTGCCGCTTGGGATACCTATTAAAATTCTTGGGTAAAAATAATATAATTTTTTTTTAATTTGAAAAAAATTACATTTAAAAAATTAAATGTTATTACTTAAAACTAAGTATCAAGTTTGACAAAAAGTAAAGAAATTCCTACAGTTGTAAACAACATTTTTTTACGAAAGAGAAATTATCGCACTGTTGTTAATTTTTGAGATTTTTTCTAATCAAATAAGTAAATACACAATTAAAAAAAAAAATTTACATTTTTTTATGACATATTTTTAAGTAAAAATTTATTCATAAAAAAAAAACTCAAAAATTTCAAATGACATCTAATTTCAGTATGATAATTAATTTTTATGTGTATACAAAAATGGTCTTGAAATTAGTAAACATCTGATAGTAGATTTAGTTATAAATAAAATATTATAATATTAACAACAATTTTTTTTAACAGTCTAAATAATTGCATAATACATCTAATCATTTTAAAAGTTGATTTTCAACTAAATTAAAGTTAGCAGCCACTTTAAAATTTTTTAATTTTATTTAACAAAAAAATTTGTTCCAAATAATTATGTTTGAAAAATTGCATTTTTTAACTTTTTAAATTTCTACATGTCAATTTTTTAAAATTATTTTTTTTTTGCCATAATTTAGGGGTCATCTGAGTGATCCGAACGGAAATGTAGCCAATGTAATAATTGTAAAGAAATTCAAAAAGTAACTTGCTCTCTAACAAGTTATATACATTTAATACTTCATACATAACACTTAATATATGTCAAGTAATAGTAAATTCTATATAATAAAATACACACATTAAAACATTTAGATATCATATTTATGAAAAAAATTAAACTGTAACCCATGAAACATTACAAAAGAACGACAATTGATCTGTCTTCTAAGTCCTTCTAAGTCATAAGCAGGGGTGAGTAGTTACGCGTAACGAGCAGTTTCCTACGTATTTTACGTAAACTACGTAAAATACTTAAATTCCAGTATTATACGTCGATTTGTATGCCACCTGGTGGTTATCATTGGACATTGTACATTTTTAAAATTCTAACCGTCTTTCAACAGTTTTCGCAATAACTAATCTAAACTTTTAATTTTATCTCAAAATGAGTGCATTCAAAAAAAAACTTTATCAATCATTTTTAAAAGAAAATGATTTTGTGATTGAAAAGTTAAATGGTAAAAATATTGCCCAATGTTTAAAGTGCAATTACAAGTTAAAATAAAAAAATTAAAAAATCCAAGTAACCGATATGATTGTATATGATTTTCCGAAATTAGAAAAAATTTTGTTGTAAATTTAAAAATTAAAAAAAAAAAATTTTGGAACGTACTTGGTGTGCGTCATTGCGTATTTCAATTTTTATAAAGTCCTAGTAAATAGAATTCACAAATTTCATTAAAAGTAAAATATTTTGCAACCACGCACACTAAATACGTTCCAAAATTTTTTTTTAATTTTTAAATTTACAACAAAATTCTTTCTAATTTCGGAAAATCATATACAATCATATCGATTACTTGGATTTTTTAATTTTTTTAACTTCCCGCTACTTAGAAGACAGATCAATTGTCGTTCTTTTGTAATGTTTCATGGGTTACAGTTTAATTTTTTTCATAAATATGATATTTAAATGTTTTAATGTGTGTATTTTATTATATAGAATTTACTATTATTTGACATATATTAAGTGTTATGTATGAAGTATTAAATGTATATAACTTGTTAAAGAGCAAGTTACTTTTTGAATTCCTTTACAATTATTACATTGGCTACATTTCTGTTCGGATCACTCAGATGACCCCATAATTTATTTGTTATGAAATTCTTAAAATTCTTAAAAATATCCTAAATTAATTTTCATTAATATTGTTATAAAAATAGACTAATATTGAAAAAAGCCAACAAAGTGTTTCAATTTTTGAAATTTAATTTCTAAATAAATATTATTACTGTTGCATTGTTGTAATTTGCATAGATGGTTCATAAATGAAATTGTAAACAAAGTGTCTAACATAACCCAAGTATAAAAAAAATATATTTCATTACCTTTAATAAATAATAGCAGGTTCTGTATCCAATGAGAAATTGTAGTAATTTTAATTAATCAATATTTGTGAACACACTTTTAGTAAATTATAAAATAATTGTATAACAGTTTATAAAATTCACAAATGTTTCAAGACATAAACATGCGCACGTGGGCAACTACTTACTATATGCGCCGATTATTATTTTTTTTGGCGTATATAGTATGATTTCTAACCTGACTCCATGCTTCATTTTTTTTTTCACTTTTTATTGTTGACTAAAATTAAAGAGCAGTGGTTTCAATACTCAGAATTGCCGACAAATAATGATATTCATAAAAGTTCAATTGTCGACAAGCACTATTTGGTACATTATAAAATAAATAGTTCGCTGAAAATCATTTAGTTGTTAATTATTGTATAAAAATGACTACTGCCAATAATTTTTCGTTCAAAAAATCAGCTGATAAAAATAATACTCAGGTAAAAGGTTATATTGTTTTATTTAATATTTTAAAAAAATGATGTATTAATTTATTTATAATTTTGTTGTAGGGCTGCCAAAGTGACGATGATATGGAAAATGATTTAACATACCATTATTCAAATTTAACACAAATTGACTTGAATGCTCCTAGTAGTATTTATGAGAATTTTAAGAACAATGGTGATTTACCCAGTCAGAAATTTTTTTTCAAATCAGGTTCGATTTTTATATTTTTTTAAATCTTTTTTTTTTTTTTTTTAACAATTTTCACATGCTACTGAATTTAACAGATATCTAAAATTTATTTGGATTTTTATAACATTTAAATTATAATAAAAAAAATTTCACATGTAGAAATTTTAAAAAGTTTTAACTGCGAATTTTAAAAAATATTTTTTTTTTTTAAATATTTGATTAGTTATAAAAATTTTTAAAATTGTTAGATGTCTGCTAATTTCAGTATCATAATTTTCACTTATGTTTCTTTGTAATACTCGGAAAAATTTATTAAAACTAATTTTGTTAAATGACTTTAGTAAATTGAGTATTCAAATAAAAGTAATAAATATTAATCAATAAGAATATTTTATTAGCCAAAATAGCAGATGTTTTAATAATTTCAAGTCATGGTTACTTCACTATCAATTCTAATCAAGATCAATAAGTCAGTAGTTGGACTCATTACCTTTTATTTTATTTTCAAGTAAAAATATAATTGATGAATTTTTAAGTATATGATAATTTAATTATATTAAAACTAATTTATCCAATTTCCTGAGATTAATCATTAATAATTAATATTATTTTATTTTTTATAGATCCACTTGAGAGAGAAGATGAAAATTCTTCTGTAGATCCATTGGATCCTTTAGAAGTGGGAAATGATTGTCATTATGAAGATGCAATGAATATAGACCCTTTTTCTGATATAAAAGAAGTATACGATTCAAATTTATTGACTGACAACTGCGTCAATATTGATGAAAGTTTATTTGTGATTAAAAATTTAAATCAAGATTCAGATGAATTTTATACCTCACCTTCCGGTTTTAATTCATTTAGCTTGAAAAAAGATCGTTGGACAGACAAATATAAAAAGAGAAGCATGAAAAAACAAGTTTATAGTTTAAAAAACAAAATTAATTGTTCGAAAAAAAATAACAAGCTTAAGCAAGTATCCATAGTCAAGGATTGGGATATTATTTTAAAAAAGTACAATCCTGTTGTACTGCTTGAAAGAATTACGATTCCTAGACAAGCTTTGAGTTCATCAACTGCAGCAGCCAATCATAAAATTACCACAAAAAAAAGTGAGTATAACATAAAATTAAGGTAGTTGTCGTGGTTAAGGCCTAGCGTCAGAAAATGATGAAATTTTTTTTCTCACAAGATAAATATATTAATAATTCACCACCAAAATTTCAGATCAATTCATCACACCGTTTTTGAGTAATTAATTTTCGAAATTGCATCTTTTACACATAGAGGTATAGAGTGATGGTAAAGTTACTATGAAATCTTTCGTACAACTCGAGTGATGTAAATAAATTTCACTAACTTTACCATCTTTCTATACCTCTACGTGTAAAAGATGCAATTTCGAAAATTAATTACTCAAATTTCGAAATTGCATCTTTTACACATAGAGGTATAGAGTGATGGTAAAGTTACTATGAAATCTTTCGTACAACTCGAGTGATGTAAATAAATTTCACTAACTTTACCATCTTTCTATACCTCTACGTGTAAAAGATGCAATTTCGAAAATTAATTACTCAAAAACGGCGTGGTGGATTGATCTGAAATTTTGGTGGTGAATTATTAATATATTTATCTTTCGATAAAAAAAATTTCATAATTTTCTGACGCTAGACTTTAACCACGACAACTACTTTAAGAAAACTGACAAAATAGTATTTTTTTATGCGCCCTTTTAGCATGGATCCATACGAACCTGTAGCTATGCGCCCTTTTTGCATTAGGCACGCGATAAGTTATTAAATTAATTGCAATTATCTAATATCGTTAATTTTTTATACTTAATAATTAATAACTAATAAAAAAAAATTTTATCCGGATGAAAAAAAATGAAAAATTACTTTTTTTTAAAGCGTACTTTTCTTATTAAAGCTGCGAAGAAATTTGAAGTTCAGAGCTGTTTCAAAGGACCTGAATTAACTTTTTTTTTTTTAATAATTAATCAATTCTTGATAATCTTGACAGCGATTAATCTTTTTTTAATTTTTTAAATTATAAAGAATATATAAAAAGTATAAGATTGTTATTAGTAATGTAAATAATTCAATTAATGTTAAAAGTATGCCAATAATTGGATTCGGTTAATAATTAGTGCTTTGACTTGAATATAAAATTGATCTCTTTAAAATGCATTTAGGAAGTGTGATATAAATAAATTTCATACTAACTTTACCATCTCTCTATACCTCTACGTGTAAAAGATGCAATTTTGAAAATTAATTACTCAAAAACGGTGTGGTGAATTGATCTGAAATTTTGGTGGTGAATTATTAATATATTTATCTTTCAATAAAAAAAATTTCATAATTTTCTGACGCTAGGCTTTAAACACGACAACTACTTTAATTAAGGTATATAAGATAGTAATTATGAATTTATTTTTCAGGGTCAATTAAAAAATGTGAAAAATCTTTTCTCAACTGCGGACATTGCGAAGCGACTTTTACTTCGAATGCCTGTTTAGATTCACATGTACGAACTCACGTGGACAACACGCGGTCTACATGTCAAATTTGCTCTGTTAAGTTCGATCGTAGAAGTGATTTTGACCGTCACCTGCGAATTCATGCGCGTGAAAAGGAAGATTACTTTAAAGATGAGCAGTTTAAATGTGAATTTTGTTTTGCAGAATTTTCTAATAGAAGTCTGTTTCAAAATCACATGCAAAGTCATATGGGTGGAAGAGTATTCAAGTGTCATGAATGCTCAGCAAAATTTCATCAGAAAAAAGACTTGACTTATCATTTGAAAATTCATACAGAAAATAGTTTATATGAATCTAAGAGTTGTTCAGTAACATTTGATCAAAAAAATCAGCTACACATTCATATGCAGACTCATTTAAAAAAATTAAAAGTCGAACCTGGAATTGATTCAGCCTTACTCGATCAAGACAATCATTTGATTAATCATGTAGATATGACAGAAAATATACTCGAGTGTGAAACTCTTATTGAATTTAAACAGGAAAGTAATTTTATTAATTGTGATCCTTTGGAAATTCCTACTGAAAATGAACAGTTGCTTATTCAAGCAGATACGAGTGAATTTAAATGTGCAATTTGTTCAAAAAAGTTTAATGAGAAAAATCAATTAGATGATCATCATATGCTATTTCATACAGAAAAAGAAACATTACAACGTGAGGAAATTCTTTCAGTCGTATTTAATCAAAAAGAAGATTTGAATGATAATATGGATAATCGAGCTGGATCTGAAGCTTCGTTGGAATTTAATCAAGAAAATGATTCAGTTGATCCTTTGGAAACTAACGATGAGAAAGAAGAATTCAAATGTGAGACTTGTTCAGAATTATTTAATCAAAAAGAACACTTGGATGATCACGCAAGAACCCACGCGGAAGAAGATCAATTTAAATGCGACAACTGCTTTGCAAAATTCAATGAAAAAAATGAATTGGACAAGCATATGCAATCGCATTCAAATAATAGAACATACAAATGTTACGTTTGCTTAGCAAAGTTTACTCAGAAAAGTCATATTGACAGTCATATGCGTGTTCACTCTGACAAAAGGATGTTCAAATGTGACATTTGTCAATTAGGGTTCAAACGCAAAAGTACTTTAGATGATCACCTTCGAAAAGTTCACGAAGGAGAACTGCCATTTAAATGCAATCTTTGTTCAGCGAAATTTAATAAAATACACAGTTTGAATGTACACAAACGGATCCATTCGGAGGAAAAAGCTTTCGCATGCCATATTTGTGCGATGAAAGTAAAATCCATAGCTTCTCTCAGTCAACACATGCTTCTTCATACGGATTCAAAGCCTTTTTACTGCAATATCTGTAACATGAAATTCAAAGACAGAAAAGATGTGAAAACTCATAAGCTTACTCACCGAGAATTAAAGCCATTTAAGTGTGACAAGTGTCCAGCGGCGTTTGAATATGTAGGCTCTTTGAATAAACATAGAGAGATTCACACGGGAAAATTAATTTTTGAATGCGATCTTTGTCTGGAAAAATTCAAACGCGAAAATCACTTGCGCACGCATAAGCTTATTCACTCAATAAATCAATCGTTTCAATGTGATGTATGTTCGGCTAAGTTTTCTTTAATGAAACATTTAGAAGCTCATAAACAAATGCATATTCTGAGACCGTTTGGGTGTGAGTTTTGCCCAGCAACCTACGCCAGGGAATCAAATTATAAGATGCACATGAGACGTCATGCTAATATACGAACATTTGATTGTGATATTTGTTATGAAGACTTTAAACATCCAGATTGGTGCCAGCACAAGCAGGAAATAGGTCATTCAAAGGCGATATCACCCTAAAGGGATCTCAAAAAAAAGTAAATTGAAAAGTGCTTTATGAAATGTGCCTTAAAATATTGAAAAAAAAAAAAAATTCTAACGAATTATTATTTTTACCGAAAAAAATATCAACATCACTATTGAATTCTTTTGTAAAAATAATTTTTATAAATTTATTTTAGTTGATAGTTCCGTGATAGGTTCCTGTCTCAATTACGGAGGAAAAGTATTTTGCATTTGTTATTAGTTAATATTTTTGTATGTATAATCACAAAAAACTGTCAAAAACAATAAAAAGTTTCATAAAACTTATAATGATGAAAATTATACATTGAAAAATATAAGTAAAAGACATTTATAATGGATGCTAAGTAAATTAATTGTAGTAAATTTATGTCTTACGTAACAGCTACTATTAGCGGAAGAATATCGATGGAAACTAGGTATTGACGTATAATTATAATTAATTTCCACTATATTCTACTTCTTTCTTTATTGCTACTTAACAATTTTCTTTGCCTTCTCGAGCAATTTATTTCCTGTTGTATTTATTTAGCTATTTATCCTTCAATACTTAGATAGTTTCCACACTCTCTGACAATCTCTACCCAAAATTTTATTCCGTCATTCCTCGAATCAAAATGATCGCGTTTTTTTTGCAAAAAGTAACCACTGCACTGGATCGTTGCGTAAATCTAAAAAACAAAATAAAAACTATTTTTAACTAGTTATAATTTATTTCGATTGTCATTCATTTATTCATATGTTGGATATTTTTCTACATAATAGATTACTGTGAATTCAATTATATAAAGTTCTTTATTGTTTGAAGCTTCATTCACTTTAATTGTTTTTATTCAAAGTTATCTAGTCAATAAGTTGTAGCTTCAAGACAATACTCATTTCGGCATCTCAAGCTACAAAAACAAAACGGTCAACATCTTTGATGAATTTTACAAAATAACGGCCACCATGATAAAATTTAAAGTAAAATTTAACAATCGGTTAGCAAAAGTATTTTTTTATCATAAAAATAATATGTATTTAAATATATTTTTATGATACGTACATCAAAAATAATTTTTTATAAATGAATAAAAAAGTTTGGAAAATCCAAATGGGCATCCCGTGTCATACACAAATTATTTAGATTGCAATCTAAATTGCATCTAGTCATGACTGCTATTACGTTTGAGTTACGATTTCATTTCTTTATTATTCGTTTTTTTGTTTGAATTTTCCCGCGAGTGGTGTTATTTCCTCTGTAGGTCGAGCTAAAAAAAAAAAATTTCAACAGATAATAAAACAGTTAGTAATATAATTATAATAATTATACCATCATGTTATGAATAGTATATGTATACAATTATTTTCGTTACCTTAAGGGGACACGGGTGCAGATTTATGACCGACAATTTGATGAATTTTTTTAAACAAATTTTTTTATATGTTGCCCTTAATATAATGACCTAAAAATTTGCATGGATGTTCAAAATAATGTAATAATGTGCTAACGAATTAAATTTTGTAAATTTTATGCAATAAAAATTACAGATTTATTTATCGATCGATATGTGATTAGTATTTCATCAATATTTCAAATTTGTGTGTATAAAATGTAATAACTGAAATCGTTAGCGCTTCTAAACAATATTTTTAACGTAAACAAGTATTTGTTTATTTGTAATATTCCGAAAATTCGGCAGGAAATTTTAAATAAACATTGGGTCATAATTTTATAAATAATTCAATTGTAAGTAATTGTAATAAGATGTTGTTGGCGGTCAGAGATGGCGGTACGGGTGAATGCCGAGGTATTTTTCGAATTTTTATTCACTAAAGATCTGATAGATGGCAGACCGTATGTCATAAGGAAATTAGTGCAATCTGCAGAACCAATTTCAGTTTTTATTAATTTATATATTATATATGATTATATAATAATAATTTACATTATTATAATTTATTATAATGAATTTAATTATGATAGTAATAAGTATAATTTATATATGATTACATTTTATAAAATATACGTATATTAATTGATGTCAAAAAATATTTCAAATGTTTTCATCCACTTTATTAAATGTTTAATAAAAATTTTTTTTTATTTATTAATTTATGATTAAAATATATATAATGAAAAAAAATTGTTCGAAGGAATCCAAGAAATCTGACCATAAGAAATATCTCATGATAGTCATATAAGAAACAACTCTTTAATAATAAGGCAGACGGTTTTACAGAATAATTAATAACTTGGTGATCTTAATTTTCCATCAATCTTATAACGAGAGTATGTATATCTTCTTTGAATGTAACAAGTAAAAATAAGATAGAAATTCCAATAAACGATAATCTGTATACGAACTTAACATGACCTTAGCTCGTTATATAGATAAAAGTAATAACAATTAAAAATAAAAAATTAATAATAGAAATATGTAAGAAAGATATCAGATAAGAATGCAAGTACTAATAAAAATAAGTTGTGTTTTGAAAAAGGGAAAATTATGGATGTCTCTTTCATTTTATCAACTATATATCGAGTCATTTATTGCAATAATACATTAAAAAATTTTTAATTTAAAAATTGACAAGACTGAAAGTAAGTTGTTACTTATAAAAATAAAAGTATAATTAATAATAATATTATTATCATTCTACTTAATGCTTAGTTATTATATTTCTAATTTAAGCAAGTATTCTTGCTTTTGATGGATCGGGATTTTTTTTTTTTTAATTACTTTTTTGTTATTTTTCTAATTATATTTGAAATCTCTAGTGATTCACATATTATTGTTATCTAACAATCTTTCTATATTTAAATAAACAAATTAAAATTTTACATCAAAATTACTTAGTAATATAATATATCATTTTACTCATTATAAATCTTGTTCAACAGTTTTTTTTTATTCTTTAATATAAGTAACTATGTTAATTACCATCTTATTATTATACTTATTTTCAATATTATGTTTAAAATCTTTATAAATTCAATTTATAAAATTAACATTTTAATTATCACTTAAAAACTATATCATAATTAAACCATCAAATATCACTGTTGTTTAAATAATCAGATATAATCATCATTTGAATTTATATAATTTCATTTACTTTTGGTTTACTAAATAAGTCCTTTTTTTTTTCTTTATATTTAGCAGACTTTTTTTTCCTATTTTGTTACTTTTCTTATTATATATTTTAAAATTTAAATATTTAAAATTGAAATATAAAACGATTGATAGATAACAATAGTATGTAAGTTACTAGAGATTAAAATTATCATAAGAAAAATAACAAAAAAGTGAAGAAAAAAATTTGTTAAATATTACAAAAAAAATTACTTCCCTGTTGAAAATGTCCAATAGAAACTCATAAAAAACGATAAGGATTGTATGGGCTTCTATATGGTCTATCTGGAACGAAAAATTTCCCGATAGAGGTGAGGTTGAAATTAATCGGAATGTATGAGCAAATCCAGTCACAACTTTTGTTCTAATTGGAATGAATAAGATTTGAATGGTTTCGGTAAAAATGTGGATTTAATACGGAGAAAACTTATAGGATTCTAATGTTTCTTATAAGGAGTTGTCTAAGATTCGAGAATTTATACGTCATTACTAATAGAACAATTGATGGGTTTTTATTTGGATTTTTCAACTGGGTATAGTTATCGTTCTTTATCGGTAATAACCAAGTGATAAAATATAGGGATTCATGAGTCATTACCGATAAATAATAAGTCGGTAATCTACAAGGAATTACCAATACAGGATCATTTCAAATCTGGGATTATGGAAGGATCTCCAATTAGCAAATAATTTGTGTTTTAAAAAAACCAGTTTGGAATTCCAGCGACAAAAACACATTACAATCTTTTAAGATTCTATAGCATTCTTGGTGTCTATGAGGATCAATCAGTAAATTCAAATACAAAATTAATCACGATATTCATAAGAAAATATAGATCTGAATTTGGAATGGCCCGGTTGCAATCTAATAGGATTTCACTTACATCACACATATGAGAAATTGTATATTCTAAGCAGATATCCAAGTATTAATTTCAGATGAAAATATGAATTAAAGATTGCAATAAGAAAGATTTTATGTGGATTTCCTATTTTACCATAAGGATCCGACAAGCTTCAATGAAAGGCCTTTAGATTAATTCTTTGGTTTTGTTTATTTCACTCATTGATAATTTTAGGAAGTATGGAAATTGAGTTTTTTTTGGTCACATCCAAAAAAAAAAACAATTAAATACAATGTGACTCATAATTTCGAGAAAAAAATTTTATTTCTTATTTTTTATCGCTCAATAAATTTAAAGGTATTATGTTTACTTGAATTGACGTTATGAAAAATATCCCTGAGGATGTGTCCTATAATTCTAATTATAACTGCGTTGCAACAATTAGAATCCATCGTCAGGTTAAAAAGTTTTATAAAGATCTCTCGTTTCACCGATAGAATTCAACAAGTTTCAATAAAAAGTATCATCATAAATATCTCACATGTAATCTTTCAATTGTTTTAATATTTTGTAATTTTAAATTATCAATAATACTGCCCAACATTCAAGAATTCAGTCGCTACAATCTCCATAAATAATTATATCCAGAACAAAAAGTTTAAGTCCGACTCAATGTTTTGGTATTAGACTCAATTTTACTTTTTTCAAGAACAAATTGACGAAAAAAGTGAAGAGGCTACTACATTGTTTAAAAATTTAAACAAATTAATTACATTTTCCGATTCTGATATTGACTAGTGTGGAACTAATTAAATTAATTGGGTTGTATCGAATCTGATGAGGATATCCTGATTTAGCAATACAATCTAATAAACCCCATTAGAAATCAACGAACATCGATTATTTTTTTTTTCTTTTATAAGTAAATTATATTAGATTTTTGAATTATCGAGCTTACTTCGTATCTATGTCGGGATATACGCTTCCTTCAATTTTGAGGATGAAAAAATAATTCTCATTTTCTTGTTCTTTTTTT